ATTTTCGTTAAAATGTATATTTTAGGAGATATTTGCAAAAAAACGAAGAAAAGCGCCAAAAATATATGAATCTTTAGTGGTCTGTAACTTGAAAAGTATTAGTTTTTTTGGAAAACTGTAAAAGACATTTTATTCTTATAATTAGTTTTTCTATCGATTTCCGACGTTATTTTGAAAAAATGTAATTACGCAATTGAGAAGGGGCGTCATCCCCCCGGGGGGTGATGGCGCAACCCGAATTGTTTTCACTTTTGAAATTAAAGATAAGATGAACCTAATTCCAAAATTTCATTCAATTCGGAGCACTGTAAAAAAATTCAGAGGTTATACCTTTTTTTCCTCTCCGTTTACTGCACTATAGGAAGATTAATAAAAACTTTCGTAGAAAAACAAAATAAAGGCTTCAAATTATAGTCACAGATATTATTCTTACTAAAAATATACAAAATATTGAATGATCACGATTTATTCTGTTTGTCTTCTTATATAATCTCACTTGTTTTATTTGAAACTAGAGGCTTGACTGTTTCGGCATTTCATGAATACAGTAAAAGTTCCTTATTCGCGCTTTCTTCATTTGCGTTTTCGCTATTCGCGGCCAAAAAAGTTGCGACCCAACTCCCATATTCGCGGCTAAAAATTTCGTTATTCGCGGATTTCGACATGTATCGAACCCAAAATTCTTCGTAAATGTCATCATTTTGAACAAAAAAAACAAAAAACATTATCAAAAAACGGCAAAAAGTTTGCCAATTTTGGAACGTATTCTCTATAATCCCTATATAAAATGCCATTCTGTATTTGCTGATTCTTTCGCGGTATACGGAACGTATAAGAAAAAACAAAAATATTTCGAACCGACTTTCTTTTACTGCTTCAAATGTGTGAACATAATCAACACAATCGTGAAATTGTCAATTTTGCAAAAAATATGTGTTACTCGATTCCTTAATAACTTATAATACTAACGATTAGTAAAGATGGATTTGAACTCACCAATTTATCCGCAACGTGGTCAAGTGGTTAAGAGCTCAGCTCACAAATACAGAGGTTTGCCGGATCAAATCCCGGTCGAACGCACTACGCAAACTGCATGCAAAAGTAAATTTATGTAGACCCGAATAGGTTCAGGAATAAAGAAAATGTGTTAGTTTACAGAACATTTAATAGTAAAAAAAAACTTACCAGAAGAGTATTCTTAAGCAAACCACACACTGACGACGATATGATCATGACTGATTCTCTGGCCAAAAACTCCGGCCCTTTACTTACTTTGCGACAAAAATATAACCTTTACCTACAGTCGACATCTAAGAGAGGAACATATCATTACCGCAGTTTACATCAATGGTTTCCAACCCTTTTTGCACCGAACCCCCCTGCTCTAATAAAAAAACTGTCGCGCCCCCTTATTTTTTTCAACAGTTTAATTGTATAAATACTACAGCTATAAATTAATATGCAATATTATGTAAAAATATGCATAAAAATTAATATTTTTTGTTTATTTTTCAATATCGTTTTCAAATCGTTGAATTCTTTTCGATAATAGTATACTGGAAGCTGATGTACGCGCCCCCCTTAGAGCAGCCTGGCAACCCCCTGAGGGATCGCGCCCCACAGGTTGGAAACAGCTGGTTTACATGTTAAATATAAGTTAATAAAAATAGAAATAATAAATAATTTAAATATGTATTAAAATAGAAAATGTTTTACCAAATTGAGTATTATTTTAATTGTGAAAACCACTGTAATAACCTGTTAACAACAACTACGTTTCTGTATAATACAGATGTCCAGAACAGCTTTACAAAAAAATTATTATGTCGCATATCATAAATAATCAATTAGTTACATTATCATCAGAACAATCAAACTATATAATACTCATTCATACCATAGTCAAAATGCTTGTAAATAAATCTTCATATATTTATTATACGTTGAGAAACTCATTACATTTTTATATATAATTTGTAATAATTCATGATGCTTATATTAAATAATTATTAGAATAATTATTAATAATTTATATGCAATAAATTCGGACAGGCAAGTATAACAAACTGTACTTTACTACAACTCTAAATACATTAGTCTGATTTTAAAAATCCTAATAAATTTAATTAAAATTTCAACAATAATTAAGAATAACTGATATAAAATATGTGATAATATATATTTAACAAAAAAGGTTAACTGTTGCTTATGAAAAATACGAAACATCTGATGCAATTAACTAAATACCAATTTATTCTTCTGAACATAGATCAATCATTTGAATTTAATTGTAGCACTTGATAGAAAAAAAGTAAATATGAATTCAAATCAATAATTAATATAAGTAACTATGCGAATGCAATAAGTTTAAGTTAAAGAAAATATTGGAATCATTCGATCAAATTCATCAATCATATATATTTTCAACAAAAGAAATTTAATCCATATGTTCATTTTGAGTGAAAAGTAGTATAAAAGTACCTTTAATTAATTATGAACAATGTCATGTACACAAAAATAATTCAATATATATATGTATATATATATATATATATATATACTTTTTTCCTAATTATTAAAGACATTAGAAAAGATAGTTATTTATTAAATAAATAATTGGGTATTGTCATATCGAAACATCTAATCACATTCATATATAAATTTAAATCAAATATAGTTTCTATTTTATATGTAAATATAAATCAAACATACATTTTTAACGATGGCTGCAACAAATTACCCAAAATATAAACATTTTTCAAAACAACTATTTATGTTTATATGTAAATCAGTTAGATCAAAAAAATATTAAATGTTGAAATCCTAATATTAAATATAAATATTTTAGACTAATTATATCTATATCATTATTTTTTAAATATGTATCTTTAAAATTATCAATCTTTATTAAAGTAGTTTTTATACCAAATGACAATAAATGATTGGATGCTTATCAATAATGCTTGACTTCTTAAATTTGCTTTTATTGTTTAAAAGACATGGCATTACATTGCTTTGATATATTAACATTTTGAATGTCTTGTTTACAAAAGGTCTAATTCATACATTTCATATAAAGCAAAAATCATTACGATTTCTTATGCAAGGTAAAATATCATATATCAGTTTGAAAACTACTGGTCCATCTCAAGAAAATGTTTTAATAGTTTTACAAACCTAGTTTATTTATTTATTGATTATCCTTTATGTATTTTATTATCCTGGTGCCCATTGCATTTGATGTCCTCCCATTACATAAAGATGCAAATGATAGATCGATTGTGCTCCATCACGCCCATCTAAGCCTTGTTCCTTAGCTAAGTACTTTACGTGTAACTAATATGAGATGACCTGGTGATAAACAATAATGAATATTGTGTATACATTAATGAGACGTCCTGATAATAAACAACAAATAATGCCTGGTACCTTGGCTGACGCATATATAAACAATTAATATTTGTATGTGTAATATCAATTTGAATTAGTTTTACAAACCTAATAGTATGTCACTGCCATCATCAGTTGCCTTTGACATTAACATATTATAATTTATTATATTATTATTGTCTAAAGTGTAATTCGATGAAGAATTAATATGTTTTTAGTATGGTTGAAAGGACTGCCTAGCTGTCAATAACTTGAAAATAATGAATATTATTAGAGGTAATGTTACAAAAAATTTAAATCAATATTATCAATAAATAATTTGTAGAAATTGTTTCTAACCTGTTTGGTTCTGTTTTAGATACATTTACAAACAGAAAGCAGCAAAATGGTTTCAATTTGATAAACAAAGATTGCCAAAAATTTTACACAAGACTTATTTTCAATGGTTAAAATTATATAATCAAAATAAAACAGTTTTAATTCCATCCTGTTAAGTAGAAATTTGTTAGCATTGTTAATTTTTGTATTAGTTTAATCAAATTTTTAAAATTCAAATTTATATTTTGTAGTTTTGTAATTTTAGATATATATTATGTAAATTTTGTAAATTCTTAATCAAAATATGAAATAAAATTAATATAAAAAATAGTTTTTATATTTACAGCAAATTCTATTAAATTTTTAAGTAACATCAAAGACACCCACACGTTAATTTAGTAATTTAGAAACGTAACAAAAACGAAATCGTTACGTGTTCGCGCAATTTGGAAACGTAACAAAAACAGGCCGTTACGTTTTTGAGGCAGAAATAGAAACGTCTGTGTGCCTCCTAGGTTACGTAACCGTTATGTTAGACGTAACATCTTTTACGTTACATGAACGTTTTAATTACGTTTTGTGGTTTACTGGGTATAATGCGTTTTTATTATGTTATTATAATTATGTTTACTTATCTATTATATATTGCATAATTACGATCAATATGCTTTTGGTCGTGATGCAATTAATGTTTGCAACCAAATGCAATTTTTTGAAAATCTAAAAACTTATTGTTTTAAGTCAAAATTATTAGAAAAATTATAAATCACAAAAAATATTTGTTGGTAGCTGTACTAGCTAAGTATACATACAAACATAGATAAAAGAAGAGTATACAAATTTCACATATGTTACTGGAGATAAAGAATATAGCAGGGTTATCGGTATTATTTATTCTTTACTCATTCATCAACATTATAAAAATAAACTTCGACATATTATTCTGGAAAAATTATGTGAAGAAATTATACGTTAATGAATTTTTAATAGTATAGAAAATTTATAAAATGTTGACTCACTTTCTAATAAATTTCTAATATTTATTTAAAATTGAACATTTTATAAGTTAAAGATTATTAATAAAATTATTTTATTTATTTAAATATAATAATTGCATTTGAGAATCACTGTGAGTGATCTGTGAATGTTAAATTATGTATTTATGATCAGTGAGTGTTTGTGAAACTTTAACAAAATTTTAGTGTTATGTTTATTAAAAAAGTAACAAGAACATGAAACATTTGAAACGTGACCGCTCAACAGTATACGAATCAAATGTTATACATTTCTAAATGGATTCAAATACTTCGGAAACTACTAGTATATTATCAGAAGTAAATATAGACAAAACATAAATTTATCTCAATAATAAGATAATTCACATTATATTATCTTTCAAGACACATCAAAGTGTACGAACTCCAGATTCCGAAAGTCACAACACGTCTGCAGTCTTAGATTATTGCAAATGCAAGGTAAAAAAATATTTAAGTACTGTCAAAAATTTTAATATCTTGTTTATTAAAAATATTTATCCGCTAGTAAACAAATTAAATTCAAACCAAATAAATTGGTTGAAAAGTTATTATTGAACATTAATATTTATTATTGGCTCAAAAAAATAATTAAAATTGAATATTTTTTATAAAATTAAAAAATAGTGTATTTATATAAATTGTGTAAATTTAGGAAAAAATATCTTGAAAAAAATGCAGTAAAATAATAGTTGGAAATATTCACAAAATCTATAGAAAATACACAATTTTTTAGTTTTATAAAAAATATTCAATTTTAATTATTTTTAAAAATTATTAAATTTATTTTAAAAAATATCTATAGATATCAATAATGAATAAATTTATCGCTTTTTTATTATATTATCTCAAAGTAATATATAATATATATTTTATAATTATTATAAAACCTCTCTCCGTTCTATAATTTTTCGCTCTCTTCTCACTATATTAATTTCTATTATGAACGTGAAATAATTCAATTTCAAGTTCCACAATTTCTATATCAACATCATACTGATTGTCCGTTGCTTTGTCTAGCCTCATCAGTTATTATCACAATATTTATTCTTTTGCACATGGAGGTCATTGCCATGGACAACAGGAACAATAAATACAATTATATTGAGCCAAAAACGTATTTAAAAAAAATCAAAAATTAAATTAAACGTACATTTTTAAGCTATTACTGCCGTATGCTTGCATTCTTGGATTGATGGGCCTAAGGCCTATGTCAATAGAAAGATCTGCTACTTGGAGCCCTACATCGTTGTTAGGACATACACAGACTGCATTTATTGGTATTTCTCTATTATTTGGCTACTTTATTCAATTTGCTACTTGTTTTAGGTAAGTGAACTTATTATATATTATTATAACATTCAAAATATGAATAAATCGCCGAAAAATATTTATTATATAAATTAAACTCACCTTTGTTTACTATAGCACGTGGGCGTTTTTTAAATATTTCGGCTCCTGAAAACCGTTAGAGCGGATGTACACGTTAGAATCTAAATCGATTTTATGACTTTTCTTCTATTTAGATATTAATTCTGATGACTAATGTTAACAATTTAATAATCCATTACTATTAATACCTTATGGTTTCCAGACGAGATAGAGGATATTGTTTGAGAAATAATAACTCATCTTCAGACATTTTAGTAAAATCATCACAATGGCCAAATGATGAAAGAATTTGTAATGCAAGTATATTATTTAGCTACGTAATTCCTGGCTTATTGCATTTTTTTGGATACATATATTCTGTTATTATATTTCGAATTTCTGACAATGAACATTTGCAACACTTGATAGAACGGGTATAAAATTTAATATAAGATTAGATGTATCACATAAAAAACTGAGAAATTTAGGAAAGTGTTTTTTTTAAGGTCTTTATATTATCATCAAGTCCTGGAGAATTGACAAAAAATCCCAAAAAAATACTACGAGTATTATGGAGTTTTATAATATTCGGTTTGCTTTGGACACTTTGCTCTTGTATGACTGTAAATTGGATGACAATTAAGGAAGACCATATTTGGCTAAAGTGGATTAATTCTTGGTTTGAACAAAACACTTTTTATTATTATTATCATAAATTGAGCAATGTTGACTACAAATTTCACATTTTTCTAATTTGTTATTTAAAACAGGTAGAAATTACCATAGTAGGTTTTATTTTTAGGCCTTCCATGTTTAAGACCATTCTAAAAGCTTTAGTTATATACACTACTTTATGCCAAGATGCAGTTCAAGCTACGGTAATAGCTTGTTATTGTATTCAAGTGCAACTACTCAAATATCAATTACAGTTTTTGCGAGAAAGACTCGTCCAAAGAACAATCCAACCACTTGATTGGATGAGGGCAAGTCTTCGAATTTTAATCAAACATTAATGTATAAATTGTAATCTATAATAATATATGATATTTATTTTAGGAAATAAGTGAATTTCGTCTATTGTTAAGACATCTAAATGAAAAAGTGTCGCCAGCAATAGGACTTTTTACAATCGTCAATGTTTCATGGACTTGCTCAGGTCTAATATGGTTGTTAAATTATGATAACATTGAAAGTAGCAAGCTTTGCCATATAACAGCTCACATAATAAATGTTTTTTTGTGGCTGGTGATAACAGCTGCACCTTTTATTCAAGTAAAAACATTGCAAAATGAATTAAAACAGAATAAAATATTCTAATTAAATAATGATTTTTAAATTTACAGGCTGCTAGATTGACAACAACCTGTGTTTCGCTGAAAAGTGTAGGACATGAAATTGTAGTAAGACCTTTTGTACATATGGACACATCACATGAAGATCTACACACAGTTTTGCTTTATACATCAACTTTAAGTATAAGTGCCAAATTATTTAGGATACCCGTGACGCCCCGTTATCTATGTTTTATAATATCTATGACCTCAGTTATTACACTAATTTTGGGAATGTGTCATTTTTTGCAATTTAGCCCATAAGTGAAACAGTTAAGACATATTTAAGTGTGCATATCAATAACTACAAATTTGTAACTCTAGCTAGAATATAAATTTATTCTACAAAAATATTATGCAATATATGATTACAACTATTATTTCATAACATATCAGTTTTAAAATTAATTACTTATATAAATTATCATAATTTGGTTTGAGAAACTTTGAAGGTGTATTCCTTTGTTCAGTGTTTTTTCGCTTTATATTATACTTTGAATATGTTCTAGATTCATTATTTCCCCGCTGTCCCGTCTTGTCTATATAATATTTTGTCATCTCTTTATCTGTAACATCTGCCTCATCTTTTGGTGTTTCTTTGGCAGCCTTTTCTAATTCTTCGAGTTCAAGAATTCTTTCAATTTCAGGATTCATACCTTTGTATGATAGTCTACCAATAAGTAAGTCTTCACATATGGCAAAACTTGTTTCTTCTATATATTGTGATCCTTTGTTGTGTCTCATTTTGTCTGTAATTTCATTGCTATACATATTCCTACCTTCCTCATCTTCTTGCTCCTGTTGAAACTTTTCTTTTGTTCTTTTCATGAATTTCATTTCCAAAATTGATTTGGAAAGTTTCCTTTTGTGATTTTCTCTAGAAGTCATTTTGGTAATTGTGTTTTTCACTTTATAATTAAAAAGTCTTAAATTTTGACAATGAGTAGTAAGAGGTTATATATTTACTAGTGGCATGGCATATAGGTTATATTATATGTTCATGTGAAGTACGATCGAAGTAACTGTCACAATAGATCGACCATAGATGTTTTTGAATGGCTCATTCGAGATAATCAAAACTGAATATTGAAGTAAAATTTCATTATATTAATTGTCAGCGTGAATAAACTTCTAATTAATAAATAAACACTAATTAAACTTCACATTATTTAATTATCAATTCATATATGATCAATCGCAAAAAATTATCGCTCCGCCATCTTTTGCCAAGATCTGTCAAACATTTTGACATCTAATCATTGACAGCTCTCTTGACAGTTTGAAATTTTGACAGCTTTAATATTATTTTTAATTGCAAATTAAATTAACATAAATTTTAAATATTTATGAAAGAATGGATAAAAGTAGTGTGGTGGAGGTATATTTTGCAGATAATGTTTTAATGATGAATTTGTTATAATACATCCGTAAATAATATTTATAAATTCAATTGCAGACAAATGTAGATGATCCTCTAAATTCTAAAGAAAAAGAAAAATGTGATTCAAATGTACGAACACAGATCTTTCATAAGGAATATCAAATATTAGCTGAATAGTAAATATTAATTAATTTGTTTTACTTATTAAATGCTACATCTTTACATATTTATATTAAAAGTTATTTAATTTCAGCAAATTGATACAAAATGAAAATATTACGAATACATACGTTATTCCTTCCTTTGAAAGCTCATTTTGTAAGTAAAATCATGTAACCAAAAATAATATATACTTAATAATAAATAAATATAATAATACTTATAAATATATAAGTTTATCGATTCGAATAGTTTCTTCATAATTGAAAGAATATATAATTATAAGAAAAGAGAAACCTTAAATTTTTAGTTAGTTTTAACTTTTTTTCTTTATTTAATATAATGAGTTAATATATAAATAGTTTCATTCAAATAAATCTATAAATTTTTTACAGTGTGGTTTGGAGTTATATTTTTACATGAAGGATTTTATGCAGAAGCTGTATTTAGATTTAATATAATAATACCAGAAACATTTCCTGATGGTGGGGTCCCAGTAAGTAAATATTTGAAATAATTAACTATTTGAATAAATGAAATTTTTGTTTTCACATAATCTGCCATACATCTGAAATTTCTAACGCTTTTAAATTTAAAAATCATTTATATATTTCTTGTATAAATCTAAAAAAATATATGGTTTTTAGACTGTGATATTCCAAAATAAAGTATACCACCCACACATCAATGAAAATACTGGCGTGTTAGATCTCTCTATAGGATTTTCCAATTGGAAATTTTCGGATAATCACATTTGGCAACTGTTAAAGTATATAAAATGGGTATTCCATAATGCAGATGCCAATCCCAGAAATGAAATTTTAAATAAAGAAGCTTTTGAATTATTACACAGCAACAGATCAGAATTTACAGATAAAGTAAAATTATGTGTGCAGGCAAGTATAGAAGCCATATATGATCCACCACCTACTACTGATAAACATTATATAGCATTTGAAAAATACAATGAAGCAATACATGAGCCATTACGAGAGATGCTTAGGAATGATGAAAGCAAATCATTACCAGGGACGTTAACAGACAATAGATCTAGCGGTAATTTAGGTCTGTCTTGGATTGAAAAAGGATCTTTCACACCTCTTTCTAAAAACAATTCAGATGAATCGACATAGCAGATAAAAAATATGAAATACAAATTATGAGATTTGCTGATTAAAAACAACTCATCTGATTTATTACATATCGGTTTTATAGAATTTTGTGAAGATTTATTTATTTGAAAAGTGTCCTTAACACTTTAGACAGTAAGTCTATTTTATTATTAATATTAGGTTTTCATGAAATGAGATATTAATTTAGTTGATAGAGTTTACAAATTTATTACAAATATTTTTAATTGCTCATGCAAAATATTCATCAACACTCTTCAAAAGCATTACAACAATCTTCAAAGAAGTAGTATAAGACTTAGATTAATTTCCATTAACTACAATTTAATTGAAATAATTGTTGTGAATATATAATTTATTTATCTAATCTTTAGATTCTAAAGCAATACTAGTTATAATTTTCAGGTTGTCATACGCTCAAATATTTTATTTGAGATTAGAGTATATTTTTGTAATATTTATTCAGAGACTATCATATGTGAATGATGTTAAAACAATTTATTTATATTAAATGTAAGTGCCTATAAAATTCTAATGCACTTTCAATTGTGCATTGGTAAGATATTTATATGATATTCTGCAATTGTAGACTACAATATTAGTAGTACAAATTTTTTTAAAAACAAACATTGTGTTCATTGATGCAATAAAAATCTGTAAGACCAATCTTTACAAAATTGTTTTATTTAAATTACAGATCAACTGTTAAGGATATTTTTCTATAAAATCACAGCATATTAATTCATTAATTCAACTATTCAACATAATTATGATTTCTCCATTATAGCTTTATACCATGATAAATCTAATTCATATCTTTTACCATCCCAAGTAAAATGTGTTGGAGGATTCTCTTCACCATTTTTAAATTCAAAGTATTTACTAAATTCTATTGCTAATTTAGATCGTATCAGTCCAATAGATCCTACTTTCTCATGGGCTGGATGATAAACACGTCCAGATTTTGGACACATGTATATTTTATTTGGTTCAAATTTCTCAGTTAATAAAGGTCCAGCATGAGCATAAGATAATAGATATTGCTTTTCTTGATTCTCTATCGGCAAGACATGAGTGTATACAATTGGAAGATCATCACATCTGACATAATTTTTTTCTCGGCCACAAAGAGAAAGGTATGGAAATTCTTTGTATCGGTCTGTGGTATTTTTTCTAAGTCGTTTGAAGAAAAATACTAAGAAATCTTTATCTTTGAAGCACGATGTGAAATTTTTCATTTTGGAATCATCAAGAAATAACTGTAAATTGTAATTGATTCTGGTCAATTAATCATTTATTTAAAAAAAACTTATTATATCATATAAATCTTATAATTAGGATAATGGAATATTAATTGGTTACCATTCCCTGATGATCAATGTAATAGAAATATTCTCTTAGATTGGGTGCTGGTTGTTGTCCTTGTACATAGGATACATGGCGCAAGATTTGAAATATTTTTTTCGATTCTCCAAATTCGATTTTCAAAAATAATTTATAGTTTTTCCATAACATATTGCACTACATTTATTTATGTATTATCTTAACCCTCTTAACCACATTTATTGACAGTGTTGACAATTGTGTTATGAGAACTTGTTTTGAGAAATTTTCCATTGCATCATGGACTTATCTTATATCAGATCATGGTTCACACCAATAGATGAAGAACGGATATAAGAATTCCAATATTGATAATATTTTTGATTATTAAAAATATGTACTTAAATTATTAGAAAATAATAATAGAAACTATAAAAATACTAGTTGAAGTAAATGCATACTAACAAAAAAGTTCTTATTATAAATAACTATTGTAAATGGTATGAAATAAATATGTTTAACAATTAAAAATATAAAAAACAACTATTTTTAAATATTTTTCATAGCTGATTTTAAGATGTGCAGTACTTAATATGATTTGCAGATAGAGCTACCTGATTTTCTATTTTAAGGTGAACTAACAGATACCATGCAGATACCCTGATATAACAAATAATTTGATTAAAAAAAGTACACATTTAGTATGTATGCTAAATTTTTCTAGCGATTTAATAATTTTTCTTTTGAATTGATTGATATAGAGTTCTAAAAGAAATATCTGCAACATTTATCGCCCTTTCACCATAATACTCAAATTACTTGATCGCATTTAGCAACATAAACTTTATGGAATTTTCCAACGGATTTGATGGCTCCATTTTAGCGATTCTTATCAAATTTTAACTGATTCTAACAATAATCTTATTCTACCACTCAAAAAGTATTCGAGTATGTGCGTGATTCAAAATTTTACATTTTTCGTCTAGGTTTTCTCAAAAAGGGATGCACTCTGAAACTCGATAAAGACTCGCATTGATTAGCTGGTTTTGCATTCGATAGACGAGCCTTTTTTTAAAACCTAATTTTAAAAACAAATTTTATTTAATTTAATAAATCGATGCATGGCGTTAACGTTCGTGTTAAATTCATGGTCTTCTTATCGAACATACTACAACAATAGAGCTCTCACTACAAAAAGTAATTTATTTATAAAAAATCTTCGAAATTTTTCAATAGTGCACTAAAATTCCAAATTGTATTAATCATTCTATTATTTACAGGTATCGAGATGTGCATTTAATGCAATAAGCGAAATAAAGAAAACGAAGAAAAACGTTCTTCCATCGAATGATTTAAATCCAACATGTTTTCCCGAGGTGAAGAATATGGGAAAAGCTGAATGAAAACGGGGGCTGCGAACTTATTACTCCTTCAATATTTTAATGATATGTAAAAACGTGCAATTTTTATGTTTTAATATTAGGTTGTCAAATATCTCCCTTCCGCTTTTTTGCTCTTGGTTTATAATACAAAAAGGCGGAAGGGATTTATTTGACAACTTTATACATAATTATTGTGATCATAACTTTTTCACTTTTCTTTGTAATGTATTTTCAATTATATTTAAAATCTGAAGTCCATTGCTATTATTTAAGTCTAGTAGTATTTAAAAATAGTGAATAAAATAATATTTGTAATGAGTGTACATTGGATATTAATTTACATAATAATATATTTGGGGTGCTGAGCCATCCAATGAAATTTTCAAAGAAGGGTGGGTTTGCATTGGCTAGGCGTGCTCATACACGACCCCTTCATATTACATACAACATATATAAATATAATATATATATATATATATATATATATATATATATAATGTAATATCGATTCAGTTACTCAATGGTAAAATTGTGCAAGCACTGTATAAAACTTGATTAATGTAATATATAAATTAAATTATTAATAATTTATACAATTCAGCAATCTAAAAATATTAGATAGTATTAGTAATAGGAAATATATGGACTTATCACTAATAAATGACTGAATATGGATCTAACCTCATAATTATATATATAATAAAATCATCAAAAGCATCAAACATTAATATATTTTCTTGCTTAAAATATAACATATTAATTTTATATTTATTTCAACTAATGCTTACTTTTTTAACCATAATGAACAACTTATAAAATATGAATTTAATAATTTTTAAAATTTGAATGGTTGAATTTGATAATGAGAAAAAACATCTACAACAGTCAGGCTAAATATAAACGGTCAATAATATTGTAGATATCTTATTTGTGCATAAGAATTTGAAATAATTAAAATATTCTTTATTTATTCGTTAAAATTAACAACGGATTTATCTTTCGTTTAATAGATAAAATTTATTGGTCAAATACTTGCTGATAACCAATTATTCCTAATTTTATAAAGCAATGTAAACTCAGCTACGAATAGAGTTTAAAATTTCTAATAAAATTATTTATGTCTAATAAGCATCTACGAACTTAGTACAAAAATATAGTGATCTCAACACTACTCTTGATGAAAATTAATTAATTAATAAATTAATTAATCCTTTATAGTTCACGTGTCCGCATCTGACTATATATTGAAGATCTTGTCAAAATTCACCCAAAATTCAAACAAAATTAAGTCAAGTCATTACCCACTACTATTAAAAATAAATAATTTGAAACATTAAAATCTATTTAAGAATCTATAATAAAAATTATTAAAATAGGCTAGAATAGAAGAGAATTAAATTAGATGAGGACTTTTTGATAAACAATGTTTACTTTTATAGCTCAATTGTCCGGATCTAACTATTTATTTAAGATCTAGTCAAAATTCAACCAAAATTCAAACAACATTATGTCAAGTAACTATAGCCAGTACTATTATAAAAGAATAATTTGAAACAATAAATTCTATTTAAGAATCTATAGTAAATGTTATTAAAATTATTTTTTTTATTTTCTTGAAATAGCAATCAAGATTTTTTTTTCATTTATATATTTTTAACAGCATAAAGAAACCTTATGTCCTATGAGCTGTTGGGCTGAAACTTCTCCTTACTTCGTATTTTTAGATGGTAACCCAATGGTTAATCCATCAATATTTGATGATTTTTGTTATTAGAATTAATCTAATAGGGCTGACATTTTATTGGTGCAGCAATGCCGGGCAAGGGCCATTTTTACTTGGAAACATATTACTATCTATATTTCCAAGTGAAAATCGTTATCACTGCTGCCTGACAACGGGCTACTCGAAGTGGGTATCGAACCCGGGACCTCTCTGAAACAAATCCCGTCGCTCTTAACCGCTTACATACGGGCGAGCCCCAAATCAAGATATAATAATATCTTATAAGCTATTGTTGTATGAAAATTCATATTTTTTTTTAAATCAAGATTTTAGGAATTTTTCATAAACAACAATGTTTACTTTTATAGTTCAATTGTCCGGATCTAACTATTTATTGAAGATCTTGTCAAAATTCAAACAAAATTAAATCAAGTTACTAGCCACTACTATTAGAAAAGAATAATTTGAAACATTAAATTCTATTTAAGAATCTATAGTAAACATTATTAAAATTATTTTTTTTATTTTCTTGAAATAGCAATCAAGATATAATAATATCTTATAAGTTATTGTTATATGAACAGAGAAGAAAATAGTTGTGGGCTAGAATTGAAAAGAATAATTTAGATTTAGGTGAAAATTCATAAACATTTTTTAAAATCAACATTTTAGAACTTTTTGATGAACAACAATGTTTACTTTTATAGTTCAATTGTCCGGATCTAACTCAAAAATTCAAACAAAATTATGTCAAGTCACTATAACCACTACTATTATAGAAGAATAATTTGAAACAATAAATTCTATTTAGGAATCTAAAGTGATTATTATTTTTTTTATTTCCTTGAAATAGCAATCTTAATAACAATAATATCTTATAAGCTATTGCTATATGAACAGAGAAGAAAATAATTGTAGTTCAGAATAGAAAATAATAATTTAGATTTAGATGAAAATTCATAAACATTTTGGTGCTTTTTGGTGAAAACCAATGTTTTCTTTTATAAATGAATATATTTAGCTCTCAACAACAAAAGTTATGCGAAAGCAAAACAACAGTCGACTTGTTGTCATTTACCATTCATTAATAAATTAATATTAATAAATACGAGTATATTAGTTTACATTAATTAATGACTTTTCCATGTAGAAACCTGATGTCATAATTCTTAGATTAAAATCTTATGAGTTATAGCACTTACAGGTGCAATTAGATTGGAGATTTATAATTGGTAACACTTACAATATTAGAATAATTCTTTTTGAGTAAAATCAGAAAAATTGAATCAAATCAAAGAATGCCAAAGAAACCAAATTCACATCATTCTAGATGTAAAATATAACACGAATCCAATTTCAATGGGTTAGTAGTACTAGTACGAAAATAAAAGGGGTAGCATTTATCGGCGCGAAACTAATTTTATTGCTTCTCGGATATCGAAGGAATTCGTTTCTACGGCTATGCATTGCACAATCACTATATAGTTTGCATTGTATTTATTGGTCACATTGATTTTTTGGCCAAGCGGGAAATTCAATTTGATTTTATTGCGTTGAATTGCCGTGAAACAATATATTAATTCAGTTCTGGTTTTAATTTAGAAAAGGACACAGGCGAAACGGTCCATAAATGTCGATAATTCGCACAATTTTCGGAATTCTACTATCTAAAGATAAATATGTTATACAGAAATTGAGTAATATATCTATATTGATAGTCATACATTTATAATAACTGTTAAAAGCTTCAGAACTACAGCACAAAAATTTCAAAGCTTCAGAATTACAACTCAAATTTGGCATAGAGCATTTGGCATTCATATATTCGCACATGCCACGATCTTTTGCTCTTAACCCTTTCCACTCGCGAATTCCGAGATTTATATGAATTTTGCCGACGGAGCGGCGGCATCCGAGTAAAAAGGGTTAATTTATATTTGTTCGATATTATGATTAATTTTTCTCTATATCGGTTTCACTAAGTCAAAGGTAATCTGCTTCAAAAAGACAAAATATTTGATTCAAAATATTTTGCAAATAAGAATGAAAATAATTTCATATGCACCTAACTACTCTTTATGAATGCATTTAGGGTAGAAATACATGTTTTGATTTCTATTTTAAAAAATATTATCTTAGATTAAAATAATGAAAATAAAATAAATAAAATAATAGAATAAATAATAATCAATAAAAAAACACACATAAAATATTTAAAAATAATGCCAAATT